GGTGGCGGAATCCACTTTAACTGGTGTGCCTGCATGAAGCGGTCGCCCTTAGGTGGGCGGGCCGGCCGCACAGCCCCGCACACAGCCACACCCGAGTGCCCACCGCACTGCAGCCGCAGACCGCACCTGCCGCCTCTCCAGTCGGGGCCGCGCCCACCCAGGGCTCTCACCTGCCTTCCCTTGCAGAACACCTTCCGGACTCCCGTCTACACCACCTCCATGAGGAGAAACGCCATGGGGGTCGGCTTGGTCTTCGAAGCTGACCTCTTCACGACGAGGCACGTTTCTCACTGGGTGCTACAAGGGGTGTGCCTCACCCTGAACTCAGACTAGCCGTGGGAGGACACCCGAGCCCGAGTGAGCGGGCCGTGCAGGGTGGAAGAGGAGGCGCCTGCTCACCAGGGGACTTCCCTTGCATTGGAAGTCGGCCATTTTCATTTTTCCGTACGAACTAGCCAGAAGGGTTTTGTTTTCAAACTACTTTTTCAAGCATTCTGTGTGTTCAAAAAGTAAACGCTAGAGAGCCTCTGGAGAGGGGCTGCTGTCCTTGTCCTCGGCAGAGGGGACTCCTGGGAGCGGAGAGCGGGGGGCCTGGGCCAGGCGAGAACCTGCTGCGGTCTCCAGGGTGTCTGCGGTCTGTTTGGGCAGCCTGCTCCAAAGGCAGCCGGGTGGGGTCGTAGAGCACCCCGTCCCGGGGTGACACCCAGCACTGGCCCTCTGGAGCTCTCTGGGCCCCAGGCACCAGGAAGCTGGAACTTGGTACTTAACTCCCCATGAGCACCCACCCCGGCCTGTAGGGCCTGCGTGGGCTCCAGGCAGACTCAGAGCCAGCAGGCCAGGAAGCCGCTGCGTCCCCTGCTCTGGGCACCGAACACCTTCCGGACTCCCGTCTACACCACCTCCATGAGGAGAAACGCCATGGGGGTCGGCTTGGTCTTCGAAGCTGACCTCTTCACGACGAGGCACGTTTCTCACTGGGTGCTACAAGGGGTGTGCCTCACCCTGAACTCAGACTAGCCGTGGGAGGACACCCGAGCCCGAGTGAGCGGGCCGTGCAGGGTGGAAGAGGAGGCGCCTGCTCACCAGGGGACTTCCCTTGCATTGGAAGTCAGCCATTTTCATTTTTCCGTACGAACTAGCCAGAAGGGTTTTGTTTTCAAACTACTTTTTCAAGCATTCTGTGTGTCAAAAAAGTAAACGCTGGAGAGCCTCTGGAGAGGGGCTGCTGTCCTTGTCCTCGGCAGAGGGGACTCCTGGGAGCGGAGAGCGGGGGCCTGGGCCAGGCGAGAACCTGCTGCGGTCTCCAGGGTGTCTGCGGTCTGTTTGGGCAGCCTGCTCCAAAGGCAGCCGGGTGGGGTCGTAGAGCACCCCGTCCCGGGGTGACACCCAGCACTGGCCCTCTGGAGCTCTCTGGGCCCCAGGCACCAGGAAGCTGGAACTTGGTACTTAACTCCCCATGAGCACCCACCCCGGCCTGTAGGGCCTGCGTGGGCTCCAGGCAGACTCAGAGCCAGCAGGCCAGGAAGCCGCTGCGTCCCCTGCTCTGGGCACC